GTAAAAGCGGTAATTAGTGTTTCCTTCAGCTAAATTGATTGTATTTTGTAGAATTGATTATATTAACATTTTTAACCACTTAGAGATGGGTTTCCTCTTTGACAAAAGACCTCTGAAATACGATCTTACTGCTAAACAGGTCTTTCTCACTCATAAAAATAATTTTTTATGTTGAAGAAGTACTGACTTGAAACTAAAGTAGTACTACTCGGAAAAGTGGACTCTAACTTCTAACGAGCATGAGTCAGAGTGCAGTCGAGCCGGAGTGTTTGGACTTCGTGCATGTTTATTTCAGTCATCGGCTCCGTTATTGAATATGTAGTAGAAGAAAATGTTACTAAAGTCATTAACGAGACAGTTTTTCTTTGATTTTTTCTACTACAATTTATATAATGCTTAATAATAACAATTACTGTAGTGTCAACTAGTAGGAAGTTTATAGCAAAACCAAACGAAGAAAAACCGTATAAATACTTTTATTACCACTTTTGAGTTATAGAAAATAATTTTCATCTTTTTCAAGATATTGACTACTTAAAAATATCAATTCATTTAAAGCATCATATCCTCAGTACTCAGTATGTGCTACGTACAAGGTACCAAGGAGAAATATTTGGGTAATTGAGTACTGTCTAAGTATCTTGACGAAGTATATTTCAGTATTTGCCTATCTAAAAGAGTATCCTAGTTATACATTCTTACATAATCAAGCAATTCTAAATTGATTATTTTTACAATAGAATATCTACCAGCGACAACGCTGCTACGATAAAGGTGTTTCATTCAAATGGAAAAATATGACATTGCAAAAAGAATACTATTTTGCAGTGACTTTAATATCATATGAAATGTGTAGCAATGTCATGTTAAAAATATGATTTTGATATGGTAGAAATATGACATCAAATTTTTACCGTAACACTATCACTTCCAGCATATTATTTTGTTACATATTTAACATTTTCAGTATAGAGATGTTCGATCCATGTTTTCTTATTTGGAACGGTCGGCTATTTTTTCTTCTAATAAAAAATTGATATTTGATCTCTTCCAGGAAAAACGTATTTGATTAATATGATCTACGAATAGTACGCTCCATGACCTTTCTCAGGATCAAGCCTAAACGATGAACTGATGAATCACAGGACGATAGAACGAATATTCGTGTATGCGATTTAGAGCGACATCTCTCAAAATACCATTACTAATATTATTTAGGTAATAAAACACACTTAGCAAAACTGAGCATGTTTATCGTTCAATTTCGAACGACATTTATAGGTACATCGAATTTGATGATAATTTGCGGGACTCCTGTCAGAAATCGATGTTTTTGATAAAACACCGAAATTGTGTTAGCTGGATACGCTCCTCCCATGTGCTAAAAATCGTATGAAAATCGGCAACTAATCAGAAAAAATCATACGATTAATCGTGCGCTTAATCGTGATTAATTGCATAGTTTTTTCTAGGTATCAGATTCGAACCCATCTTAGGGTACTTCCATTTAGGTCCACCCACCATTACATGACATAAGAGCCGAGAAAATTTCAAGACTTTTCTCGTGTAGAGCATAAAAAGTTACATAGAATCCCGTATTTGTTTGCTAAAATAGTAATATTCTTCATGCCTTTTCAGGGATGTCAAGTTTCGCCCTCTCGTACAATGAAGCAACTTTGATCTTGTTTTTCTCTACATCAATAGAGTTAATATCGACATTTAATATACCATATGAATGCGCAGCTCGAGTAGTATAACTACTGATACTCAAAACTTGTCCCAGTAGTTTTACAAAGGCAGGCCAGCTGTCACAAAATGGCCGGAAATGAAAAAATGGCGCTCAGTATTTCAGCTCTTCTGAAGGTAAAACAAAAGAAAAACTTCTTGCATTATAGATATAAATGAAGCTAAAGAGCTGATTAATCCAACCAAAAAAGAATAAAGTCGATATCTATTTTCCTCTTTTAGTATGAAGCCCATCTTTGAAGACCCCTGTTTAAAACAGTCAACTTTCAGATTCCACAGCACTAAAACTACACGGTAGAATTTGTCGGTTTTCTCTCATTTGCAGTATTCATAGTTCTCGAAGCGAAATAGTTGCTAATTCACAATCCATCTTGTTTTTAACTAAAGTAATATATGAAATACATATTTTGTGGAACTCCCTCGCTATCTTCGAAGAAGAGGGAGTAACAGTCTTATACCCCCAAACCGCGGTTTTTATGGTAAATTTGCCATCTTAAATCTATGTACGTCTTTTTGAGATATTGAGTTGAGATTAGATGTGTATGTACACCATCTGAAGGATGTCTTTACATGATTTTAGAACGCTTTTACGCGATGTTATTTCGATCTTTGCTTGATATTCACTACGACACGATATCTTAGTGCGATTATTCAGCAATGGTTTAATCCTATATTGTGCCGGAGAATCTGTTTCAGAGTTTAGCTGTGATAAATCCCAAATATAAATGTTTGGTTAGAAATAATACGTTTCATCCAAATTCTGTAACTTTCACTACTATATTAAACTTCTACTTCAGTTTAGAACTAATTTTGTTTTAAGACTAGACGGCTCAGTATTGGGAGTTCCACCTTTTAGCACCTTCAGGTGCTACCCTGCCAAGGTTTTTTTGTTTTTTCATTGTTTATTATGTATAGCGACATGTACGTCTCCCGGCAACGGTCTTAGGATCAGCTGAAGTCGGAGCCTTTCCAACGAGTCGATTTTAGACATTGTCCAGACATCAGCTGTTCACTGAGCTCCTCGGCTTAAAGTTCTTTGAGACCATAGAGGTGACTCTTGACACCTCCATTTTAGTCTAAAATAAAAAGATGATCTAAATAGAGGTGTATTTGTTGTTGAAATAGTGTTTCTTATATACATACTTTACTACAAAATAAAACGTGAATAACAAGAACCATTTAATCCCTTAAAATTAACAATTAATCGCAATTAATTCTTAAAAATGCTGTGATTTCGTCGACATGGGCTGAAGTCTCCAATTTCAAAATCTGTATCGCTTTCCGCAAAAAAGTTAGTTACTCATGGTTTTTGAGAGGTTTTCTGTCAGTCTCCTCACTACTTAGCAGGTTTTTAGCAATTTTTCATTAGTTTCGTATTCTAAAACCTAAAACCTGATTTAATTAATTATATATAAACAGAAAGAGCTATATCTGCTTCATTAATATATATTATATTCCTTGATTTCCTAGACCTTAGATCTACTACTATGATTATCTTCAAACTTTTGTTTAACATTTTACTCAGAATATAGTTTTGATGCAGTAAACTTGCTACTTCTCCTACAAAGTTCATCGTATCACCTTCATTTCTTTTGTGTTTTGAAGTTAAGATGACATTTATCTATCGATTACCCGTGGCGATGTTTGAATTAAACTTGTTGAGCCGCGAAAAATGAAAATTACTACCCCGGATAACAGGTCTTTTTCGGGATTTTGACTTAAAGTGCGTGTAGAAAATGAACGGAAGCGAATTTAAAACTCACCACGGTCAATCTTTCTGTAAATATCTTGGCTTCAAAATAATAAACCATGAAGATTGTTCGATGAACTGTCGAGGAATAGCAATTTGTTGAGAGTTCCTTGTGACACCTATAACTCAGCAAAGCTCCAACTGTTTTAACTCAAATTTTTAGCATTAGCTAGCTAGATGATAACCATTAATCTTTATAAGTTTCATCAAAATCGATTCTAAAGCAAAAACGTTTTTTCCTGAGGGTGGAGCTTAACAGTGGAGTGAAATTTTTCCAAGATGGCATGCTTACAGAAAATTAAGTTCTGCACAAATAAGCTATTTTACTAATAGCTATATGCTAGAACAGCTGAGTTTCACAAAATTCTTTTTTTCTGGTTTGTTCCCGGTTTCTTCTCTGTTGCAATAGAGAAAAAAAGGATAGACAAAAACATGTCTTTCTAGAGAAAATCATGGAAAACAGAATCATATGAAGCTCAGCTAACTTGATATACTGTATAGCATAATTTTCTTGTAATGTAAAATAAGTTTTAAATTAAATCAATTTAATTGTACTCAGGTATTTTTGGCATATTTCGATTATTTGATTGCGATTATTATCAAATCATTACATATGAAGTATGAAATCTCAAGATTTTTATTTCGTTTAGCCATTGAAGTTAGTCTTCACAGAGCTCGAGAATGTTCTGCAACACGAATGATGGGAACTTATAGACTATTGTATCTGCGGTACTTTTGTGTAGCAGACAACTCGATCTTTGTGTGTGTCAAGAACAAAACGGTGATTTCACAGTCAATGCCAGATAACCTGTTCAAAAATAATTAATTAAAAATCATTTCAAATATATGAAAATATGTCACTGAGATATCCACGATATTTTTGCGTGATCTCATATTGAAAATTACTTCGCCACGGCACTGCGGATACAATGGAGTTAGTAGATTAACTAGATAAAGTGACAATAGGTAAGAGTTCAAATCACACATCCATTTATTTATGTAATAACAAAAGTAATAAATCAGGTTAGAAAAAAAGAACTATTATTATAAAATAGAAACGTCTTTACTTTTGATGAAAATTAAAAATTAAGGTCCAAGTATAGTTTCTGTAAACAATTTTAAGATTTCTGTTGTACAAGAAGTCATCTACTTAGCCTGATGCCTCTTAGATGAATGCTCAGAAAACTTTTAGAAAAGGACAAAATGTTGAGCTTTTAAAGCGAGATATTTATACCACGAAAACATTTAAAAGAGAGACAAAGAGATTAAACTTTTATTGAAACAATTCCAAATTATATTCAAACAATTTTCTGTTGATTTCGCAATAGTTTTCTTATTAAGTGAAAAATGATTAGACAGTAATGTTGAAACATGTTACTGCAATAGCTGTGATTGACAGCGTTTTGATAATAGCAACACGTGTTCGTTGAATATATAGTCCTGTACGTTAACTTAAACTTTTAGTATTATCTTTCTCCAAAAAATTCACACAATGAAACAGAAAATGTATATTTTCTCACTGGCCATGTTGGCTTACGTTTTTTTAAGTATTCATGCAAAACGTCTTTCGCAAGACAATGAAGACATCCAAAAACCGGTAGATAAAAATGAACGGTAAGCTTGATGGATAAAATTACTTATGCTAAAATGTGTTCATTTGATTAAATTAATTGGTAGCCTTCAGATCTGATAATTTTATGTTTGTAGACGACTTAATACATATGAAAGTGATCCAAACGATGATAGTGATGCATATAGTGATAGTGATTCAGACGATGATAGTGATGCATACGATAATAGTGATTCACATGATACTGATGAAAACTTCCTTTGCAGACATGATAAAAAAGGTAAGAAAACTGATCGTACATTAATGAAAGCACAGCATCCTAGAGAAAATCGTTTTTATGCAGACAAAAAACAGCATGGAGATCAAGAAAAAATAGGCCGATATCGTGGCAGAGTATCATCGGAATCCCAGCATTACTTACCAGAAAAGTGAGTTTCTTAACTTAAACTTTGTTCTTTGTATAGTTAAACTGTTTTCAACTGTCACCCTCATGGTCAGCATATGGACGGGGATCTAAGTATCAGTATACATGGTAGTAAGTCTTGCGATTTGATAATTTTGAATTGTCTGCTCGGTCCCTTGAAATTCTATTTTATTTACAGACACTATGGAGAGCATGACAATGATTTTAGTGAAAAGAAGCGTACCGATAAATACGGGAAAGACAAATTAGTCGATGATGAAAGAGGAATAAAATCTGACCAATTTACAAATCGTTTTAGGTCAAAAAAGTATGAATATCCGGAAGAATACGAAACTGAGGCCCCAAAAACAAAACCAACAAAACCGTACTATACGCAACCGATACAGCCACCAAAAAAAAAACCGACCAAATCGTACTACATGGAACCGACGAAGCCAGCAAAGACAGAACCAACCAAACCGTATCACACGCAACCGACGAAGCCAACAAAGACAAAACCGACCAAATCGTACTACACGGAACCGGAGCCACTTGAGACAGAACCGACCAAATCGTACTACAGGCGACCGATGAAGCCAACAAAGACAGAACCAACCGAATCGTACTACACGGAACCCACGAAACCGCCTAAGACAAAACCGACCAAATCGTACTACACGGAACCGTCAGAGCCACCTAAGACAGAACCAACCGAAACGTACTACATGGAATCGTCGGAGCTAGCTGAGACAGAACCGACCGAATCGTACTACACGGAGCCACCTAAGACAAAACCTACTAAACCGTACTACACGCAATCGACGAAGCCAACAAAGACAGAACCGACCAATCCGTATCTCACGCAACTGACAAAGCCACCAAAGACAAAACCGACTAAATCGTACTACACGGAACCGTCAGAGCCACCTAAGACAGAACCAACCGAAACGTACTACATGGAATCGTCGGAGCTAGCTGAGACAGAACCAACCGAATCGTACTACACGGAGCCACCTAAGACAAAACCTACTAAACCGTACTACACGCAACCGACGAAGCCAACAAAGACAACCAAACCGTACCACACGCAACCGACGAAGCCAACAAAGACAGAGCCAACCAAACCGTATCACACGCAACCGACGAAGCCAACAAAGACAGAACCAACCAAACCGTATCACACGCAATCGACGAAGCCAACAAAGACAGAGCCAACCAAACCGTATCACACGCAATCGACGAAGCCAACAAAGACAGAGCCAACCAAACCGTATCACACGCAATCGACGAAACCAACAAAGACAGAACCGATCGAATCGTACTACACGAATCCACCTAAGACAGAATCATCCACTAAGAGAATAAGAAAACCATTGATTATTTGGTGATTAAAAATGACAATGAATTTTTCCTTTTGGTTACTGAATGATGAATAACTTGCTTTTGTTCCATGAAACTAAATTTGCCAGTATGCAATAGGTTAATAAACTTATCAGCATTCCAAAAAGTGTGGCATGGAGAGAGTAAATGAACAAACTTGCTAACCATACTAAATAGTATGGTTAATAGCGCATATCACCAAATCGAAAAATTTTAAAAGCTTGTTCGGTCAAAACCGATTCCAGATTCATCTTCTCCATAGTGGATTATCTGGTACGGGATAACTTTTGGATCGAAGATACTTCAGAAAAAAATTTGCTCTTAGTCTTGCTCAAAAATTTTCGAAAAATTCACTGCATGAGATCAGAGGGAAAACTACGTGAAAAAATTTTTCTGAAGTATCTCTATACAAAAGTTATCATGTACCAGATAACCGACTATGGAGAAGACGGAACAAGCTTTTAAAATTTTTCGATTTGGTAATATGAAACATTTTTATCCAGCAGATTTTCAAAGAAGTGACCAGTTCATTCTACAGAAATGCTATTGTTGCAAATAATTGTACAGGTGCACGGACATGAAAAAGAATCGCGATGCGTCACAGTTCGTTGAGCCGCGCTGAGACTCTTATTAAGCGGCTCGAGTCGCAATTAATCTCTTGCTAATTTCCACATCCTTCGACTTGCCTAAAGTGCTCTTTCGTTCACTCGAACTTATCTCTGAGAACTTGGTGCCTCAAATTTCTAATTGTTTTAGAGCATAACGATTTTGAGAGTTAGTTGTGGTCGTTTATTCGGCACTTATAGTATTATTAGTTGAAATCACGCGTTTTTATTTAATTTTAGAACCACTTTCGAGTTACTGAGTATTAAACAAAATTCATTTCGGACAGAATCAAAAGAAGAGACCACCACTAGTTTCGATCCCTCTCAAGGAGCTTTCTTTAAGTAGTTTCCTTCGAGAAAAACGGAGTTAAGACACGGCAAGCAACACAGCTTCTAACCGTGTGAGGGTGTTACCATTCTTAGCTAGAATGATGGCTCTTGAGAAAGGTTGAAACCGGTCGTGGTATCTTGTTTTGATTCTGTCAGAAATGAATTTTGTTTGAGGCTAGCAATTGGAAGCAGTTGGAAAATTAATTAAAATGGGTGATTTTACCGAATATAGGTTTTCACTAGGTTTTTAAAGCTTTTTTCGAAAAATAAACGTTGCTACGAGATTCAGTGTGTCCGATCACCTATGTTTTCACTGATTTTCTGGGTTGCCACACCTGAAGAATAATCCTGAGGTGCCAGAAAATCTGATACCATGCCTGAACTCCGAAAACTTGAGAGGTCGCTTAGTTCCTATTTTGAAGACGACATTTTAGGCTATTTATTCACGGAAAAAGGAAAAACATACTGTTATATCAAACTTTTAGATTATAAAATGGTTTTCCAGAAAACCGTTAGAAAATCGATGCTTGAATAATACATTCAAAACCTTTTTCTTGGCTATCAAATGGCAAAAAACGCAAGTCTCTACCGCTTTTCGTTCTTGAATTATTCAAAAACACTGTCTGGCAGTCTTTTCAAAAAACATAAAATACTCTCTATAACACAATATAATGGCCATGAGTATTTCTGAAATAATATATGACATGAGCGAAATGGGATACCCAGGTCGAAGTCGCCCGATCGGATCCTTTTAATTCTGGTGATTTCCGAAGATCGGAATCTGCTCAGTTCCTTCGTGTTCCGATATTTGGTTCCAGTCGGAACACGATTGACATCAGTCGGATCCTTTAATTCTTAACGGTATGAGTCATCACTCACACTGTTAAACAGACGTGTTGTACACGACCTAGTAGTGGGCTCTTCCACTCTCTCGAATGAACAGAGAGAAGAACCACTAGAAAATGAAAGAAAAAATTTAAAGCTATTTTAAGGCTTAAAACACCCGAAAACTGGTCACATTCTGCCACATCTAGATCTGAATGTCTGAAACTCGAAGGATACGCAAAGCAAAATCCTGGCAAATCATGTCATTTTCTGAGATCAGATCTGAGTTATCGGGCGATTTCCTGCCTCAGAATCCTACCCCAGCCAAATCCGTCAGAGTTCCTGAACAAGGATTCCTGTCAAATCCTGCTAGGATCTAGCTTGGATTTCATAGGACCTGGGCGGATCCTGGAACAGCTTGCCATATCCGGCAGGACCCTATCGGATCCTTCTGGATCTTCAGACTGGATTCTATGACCTGGGTAGGGACGGCATTTTTTGCGAACGTGTAGCTAAGACCTAACGACATTAGCGTATAGAGAAATTAAACTAGAGACTGCATCGATTGCTTTTAAAATTTTTCGATCCAGTGATATAATATAATATGATTATATCGAATTTATAACTGATACAATTTATTCCGTTTTTCAAACCTAAACTTATGATGTTTTTTTTGCTTAACGGAGATTTTAATGCACATTGTGATGAGTCTAAAAGAACTAGCTCAAATTTGGGTGAGTTACCAGAATTTGATTGTGGCGTATCTTCCCAGGTCGAACGATACGGTCCATATACGGCCCTTATTCGGACCGTCTACTGGACGCAGGAATACGGACCGTAACATCATTAAAATAGGGCCATATATGACCGTATTTTCACAATATACCGCCCCGTAAACGGTACCGTTTCTGGGCACAGTAATACGGCTTCGTATACTGTGAAAATACGACCGTATACGGCTCTATTTTAATGATGTTACGGTCCGTATTCCTGCGTCCAGTAGACGGTCCTTAACGGATATCCGTTTTCGTCGACCTGGGTTGTGGCGACTATCTTAAGTAAATCGAAAAGTTCGTGTGTCAGTCACCATGAGTGACATCTACTACAGTATTTTTTACATCGGCTTTATAAAAGAATTTTATTGAGTCAAAATCAGAGTGAATTCAAACAGAGCTGTTAGTGCAAACATATTTCTAAAAATTTCTTGTAATGAACAAGGTTTACACTTCACGTTATCAACATGGCCATTTTTTCACTGAAAGCAAAAACAACTTCATCAAAAAATCTTTTTAAATCAAAATTTCTTGTGTATTTCATATACAACGAGAACAAACCAAACAGAGTAAAGACTATGTACTTGTCAAAGAATGTAAATTGTGCAAAAGATTTATGTGATGAGAATCTGAAGAATTTTCTATATTTATTACAGAAGTAAAATTTCGGTTCTCCTACAGATCGATCACCTTAGTGTAAAAGTAAGCGGCGGTAGCGGTGAGGGTGAGTGAAGGCAGTGGTAGGGAGGTGATCGATCTGTAGAAGTACCCTCGGTTGTTTTCTGAATAACTTTTCAACAATGATAGCCAGAGACCGGCTTTTCTTAGCATTCGATAGAAAAGATTCCGGTGCATCTGTTAGTAAAAAGAAAATTCTTCAGATTCTCATCA